ATAGTAACAGATAAGTGTTCTTTCTTCATCTCTTATGCTTATCTAAAAAATCCTAATTTGTACCACTTTTTATTTAAGATGCTACTGCAGTAAATAGAAGGGGGTTGATATTTATGATTAACATAGAGATAGACCTGAAATTTTGGCAGATAGATTAGGCACGTATGGTACCTCTGGCTATACACATCGTATCTATGAGGAGGATATAAACATATCATTGAACACATTCTTCACAAAAAAAAAATAAAGCGGCATTACGACACCAATTCAAGTGAGCTCGCATGTAATGAGTTCTGGCAACATGGGCTATTTTTACAGTAGTGATAAGATCTCTGGCAGGACATTGGTTGAAAATACTGTGCTATATCAGATTCTGAGGCTTCTTCTGTCTTTTTGTCATCTTGGTTTTTTTTTAACACTTGCCAGCAGCTGCTATTATTTTTTGGAAATGAAACCTAGGTGCTGTGCATTTGAGAAGGTGAATCTCTTTGCTGAGGAGAGTTACAGTAAGGCTACATTTTCTGAAGGCGTGCACGCTTGACTCGCTGACGGAAACAGGCAGGAAAAGGATGACTCTGCAGAAACCCCTCGATACTCAGGAAGTAGCTGGCAGAACAGCCACTGTTCAGCTGGTTGAGTCAGGGGAGAAACCAACTCACACTACTACAAACGTATCCAATTACAGCCTTAAGCCGTACCTTTGGCCTGAGTCACTTCGCAATTTGTCTTATCAGTTTCTTTCCCCCGATTATCTGGGTGTTGAGCAGACGGAGCAGTTTCACTTATGATAAAACTAGTCTACCCATGGAGTCACCCCAATTGACTATCTCATTTAACTTCATATGCAGACATTTTGATTCTAGAATAAGAATACCTTATCCCATAGATTAAGATAAACAGAAATTAGGCAGTCTTGTTTCAGATATGTATTCACACATGGAATTATCAGGAATGAATCAAGGTACACACAAGTAAGCTATTGTATTTACATATTGTTGCAATGCCAGCTTATTTTTAATGAAGAGCTTTGAAAGTTCTTCTCTCTCTTTTAAATATGCATCTTCTGTAATATAGAACATAGGAAAACAAGTGTACATTTATAAACAGCCCCATAACCTGGACACAAAAATGTGCAGCTTCTTGCACAGCTGTTTGGGCAGAGCATGAGATGAGAATGCTTTATTACAGCAATATATTTTATTACCTCCTGCTCACTGTTTAGGGTTACTGGTATTGGAAAGAGGCAGGAAGGGCAAAGTAGAAGAAGTCATGATAGGCGGACAGAGATTTTCAACCACCCATTGGCAGGATGTAGACAGATTTTGAAAAGTAGTCAGCATCTTCCACTGTTACTTTTAAAACCAGTTTATACCCACCGTGTAAATCTGTCTTGTTGATTTTTGGTTAAATCTGCCAGTAGATTTTTAGCTCTGAGGACAGAGTATATTTCTTTGCAGTGCTGAATGCGCTCCCACAATTTAATAGTAGCAGTCCACTTTAAATAAGGAGCACTAAAGTTGCTGTGTCAGGAAAAAAAACTTCTCAGACAGTTTGCTATGGAGTATATATACTATTCTAACAAGTGCATACTTCAGAGGGATTGCAAATCCTTTAAAATATAAACACTTAATTTAAAATTAATTCAGGACCAGAAATTGCACTCAATTTCATACCTTTAAACTGAATAAACATGGAAAAATTCCTCCAGATTTCTCCAGTGAAATGCCAGAAAACACTTAAATGTAATTCAGGCTTCCAGGTGGATATGCCCTGTACTTTGGACTCTTAGAGATTATTTTATCTTCTTAGTTTCCCCAGTAATTTTTCTGCCATTACGTTAAAGTATGGTGTGAATACTAATGTCACAAGCTAATAGTATGGGACGAGCAGCTCTTCCCAAATGATTTTGAATCTTCTCAGTTTAACTTGTTTTTCATTGGATTATGAACCAGATTAGTCATTAAAAATTTAGGGAATTGTAACATATCTCTGTGGTATCCAGCAACATTTCAGATGTGAGGAAGTATAATGACTTTTGTGCAGTATTCTTGGCCTCATGGCTTCCCATAGTGTTTTCTCAGCAGCAATGCTGAGTTACGATATTTTCTGCCCCTCCAGTTCTGCTGAAAATACAGATCAATTCACTGTTTGGGGGCCCCAGGGGCCCGTAAGCAGTTAAAAAGAACTCACAGGAGAAGGATCTGTTCTCGTTGCAGATCTCATTGATCGCAGGGCCAGCTTACAGCATGGACCTACAAATTGTTGCCGTACCACTGAGCGCACGGAGGAAGGTCGGAAGTCCTTTAGTCAACATTGCCATGGAGGAAAGGGGGAAAAAGTACCTGGAACTTTGTCCTCACGTTGAAATGAAAGGTGTTACATAACTATACATTATGATGTTCTTACTAAAATCGCTTTTATCTCGCAAAGCCTGAATATCAAAATATGACATTTAGCATTAGCCTCAAGATTCAACTACTGCCATATCTACTTAGTAAATGGTAGAGAACTACGATCTCAGAGGAGGCTTTCATAGTCACAAGAGCTCCCTACATATTTAATAAAAATGATTTAAATGAATAGTGACTAACAGAAGTCAGAGAAAATCTAAACGAAAGCCCTCATTTCTTCCCACTTGAACATGACAGAGGTTCAGGTTTCGGATACAAGTACATTCACACACACCTAACTGAGCATATTTTCAAGGCATCTGTTTTAATCGAAGCCACACATTTCCTACAGATGCTAGCTCTATTTCACCTACAGAGCTCAGGCTTTCTAAAATTCAGAAGCATGCAAATGCTACCTAAACGGGGTCTCTCTTGCAACTCAGCCCAGCCCCTCACATCATTTTTCTGTTCCATAAGCATAACACAGTTTGCCTATAAAATACTGGTCCTAAATAAGCTCGGTTGCATTTAATCAGCTCTCAGGAGGTTATATATCCCTGTGCTAACACTGACCTTGGCTGAGAGTTAATCCCAGAGCTGTTAAGCAACTTGGCTGTGCCTCTTTTAAGCGGGAGTATCAGTGCAGCTGGTTGGAAGGTCCCTTTAGAAATACCACAACATCTTCGACTATTTTCATAGTGCTAAATCTTGGCGTTATCAGACATTGACAAACTTTCATGGTACTGACATTTTAGATAGTAACATATGTGTTACTGATTAAAACCACACTTAAGTTTAATCTCTACCTGTAATTAGTAAAATATATTTTTGAAAAGAAGTGCATTGTAGTTCTATAATGTTGATACTTACATGGACAATGGTAATCCTAACAGAAGGAGCCAGTGACCTGATCTTTCTAAACTATGCAGAGTAATAATCTTTTTCTTTGAGGAGCAGTTTTACTGAATGAGCAGAGGTACTCCACACAGTAGAAGCCAGTTACATAGGTAAATACTGTATAGTAAATTGCTTAGTAACCAAATTCATACTTTGAGTATTTCACAATAGTGTATCAAATGATCTTGGAATTTTAAAAATAGAGCTGATAATTTTGAAGATTAAATTAATACCACCAACTGTTTGATAATTGTATTTTGCCTAGATTCTGCTGTATTGCAGTGGCTCCATGTTGCCCATAGGGATTTCATTCCAGAATAATTTTCAGTTATTCCTGAGAGATTCTAAACCACAATGGCACTGATAAAAGTACAAGAGTCTGACATACTATGTGCTTCGTAATTCAAAAATGATGTGCTCCATCCATACTCTTATGATGCACTTAACGGAAATGTCTGAACCCTTAGCCTGGAATTTTGACCCCTCTCAATTTACAGATTCCCACAGCAGTCCATACCCACATACAGAAAATATCATCCTAAGGAAAAAGACTTGCTTTTTTTTCATTACTTCCCGTGGACTTGTTGCTACAACTTCATGGACTCCAAAGTTCTAAAAACAGTACTGCAGGCTAACTAGTTACCTAGAACTGGTTGGTAACAAGAGAGATTAAATTAATATATGTAGCAACTGCCTTGAGAAGTCAGTTTCCACATGTAAAGTCAACAGTGTAGTGACAGTTATGATAGTTACTTTCAACATGATATCCTTCCTTCTTCAGAAATAGTAGCAATAAATAGCATAAGGTAGAAAAAAACATGTAGTTCAATTTTATTCTGGCACTGAAGAAAAAATATCAATTCAACAATGACCTTTAAAATAACATTGCAATGTATTGCCTGGTCTTTATAAATCTGCTACCGAGATGTCAATGGTTAGTGCAATTTAATTAATTTACATATGGGTTTGGTACAGTGGTGACAAAGATAAGCAAATCCATATTGCACCAAAAACCTTAGAGTAGTGTAGGCAAAGTATGGCAGCAGAATAAAAAAAAATTTTTTTGCAGTGACACTGCAGGCTTTCAATCAATTTTTACAGCGGCTTTTAAAGATAATTTGGGGAACACTTGATGACTGGCGAGTGTTTCGGCTGGCCTAGATAAAGGTGCTAATGCACAGGTGATTTGCTAGCTCTACCTCTGGAGTACCTGTATCAGGGAGAATCATAGAGATCACCTTTTTGTACCTATGCATGAGCTGAGCAGTGACTGAGAACAACCTCTATCATGGGACACGTGGTCACAAGTACTTGTAGAGGTCTTTCCCACTTTTTCGAAGAATTGGAGTACTGCTCTGGGGAAAAAAAAAAAGATGGCATGTAGGTTTGTCACAGTTTAAGGGTAATGTGGTTAGCAGGCACAGTCTAGAACAGAAAGGTAGCCAAAGCGCAGCCCTCAGGATTGAAAGGAAAGTAAAACATGGGAGCAATCTCCAGACTGACCTGTACACTCTCGAACCTTGCACGTGTCACCAGCCTGCAGCTGACAACGCTTGCAGGGGAGCAAGCGGACTGTGTGCCTGGGAGAAACCAGGTGGAGGGCCAGCAAACCAGGATGCTGCTCGGGGACGCACAACGAACAGCCACCGGGCCTGACCTGCACCCAACAAGCTGCGTACGGAGAGTGCCAGCGTTCACATACACGATACTTACAAGAAAGTCGCGGTCTGCCGCTTACTTCCATTAAAAACGTACGTATCATCCTGTATCTGAAGTCACAGCAAGATGACGGGGCAGGTGTTTCCAGCAGAAACAGTCTAAAACACTACCGATGCGCCAGCGGAGGTGGTGGAACGCAATCTTTGCATTCATCTGGAGACACTGCATTTGCGACGACTTAGACCAGCAGCAGCAGCTCTGACTTTAAGCTCTTGAAGACAGAAGACCACCAGCGATGCAGCACACGCTCAAGCTAGATCCAGCACAGTGAATCCCCACAGTGAATTCCAGCAAAAATAACTTAGTGAGAATTTGGTCTCTCTGAAAACTGTTCGGTAATAGCAGTTTGTTGCTCACAAAATCTATTTCAAATCTTTCTGTCCTAGTCTGCGAAGGCCTGTTTTAACAAGCACTGTGTTTAAATTAGGTTTGTAAACAAGACGGTGCAGGAGAAAGGATCTGTATGTCACAACTAATTGGATAAACACCGAGATCAGTAAAGAGCTGGCTAATATGTACAAGCGAAGATAGGAGGGTGCCGAAATAACTAATGAAGTTTTCGTGACAGGAAAGTCACGACTTGGCTGACAGAAAGTACAGGCAGCGACTTCTACAAACAGGGGCAAGTAGCCAGTCCCTGCGCCCCAACCCCGCCAGGCCAAGCGGCGGCTCCCAGGCCGCAAAACGCGAGCCGTCCCACACGCGGCC